TATATATATTTATACATATATATATATATATATATATATATATATAAACACACATATATATATATTATATACCCGCACACATCTAAAATGGCCTAAAGCAGACATCCATGTAATTACAGTTGCAAAATGAAGACATTTTGGAGAGAACATTGTATCATAGTTCATTCATTTGCAGTGGATCTTTGTTCCTTTTTACTGTGGTAATTTTAGAAATGAGTGTCAAGTTTGGAATTAGATCTGCTAAGTTGGGGTTTTGCTGCTTGAACTCTGCACTGGGTCCTCAAATAAACCGATGTGAATGTAGTTTTTTCCCCCTGTGTGAAGAAGCAGCCACACCCCAACAGATAGGAGGAAAAATCTAGAACTGTTTCAAGTTTTATCTTTTTGTATATGAAAATAAAATAATAATAATAATTAAAAAAATCCTGTTGTCTCTCTTAATCACACAGCAGGGGGTTTTGTTCTCCCACTTACAGGGCCACCTTGAGCACCTCCGTGAATTCCTGCTTGGACGACATGCAGTTAATGGCCGATACCTAGGCTGTCAAGGATCTGTGGGTGGACCTAAGCACAGGTCTCCAGGTCTGCCCTTCAGAAGCTCAGGACTTAGTTGGAGACACTGTGGGCTTCTCCTTAATGGACTGTCCTGGGACTTTGGGTATGTTCCTGCAGGACAGGGGTGTTATTTTCCAAATCCCCAAGATCCCCACACACACAACCCTGCTCCCCAATCCTATACTTTGCAGACAGCCCTGAGCAATATTTTTGTAAGTGCAGCAGAGAAACCTAGAAAAGTTATATTCAGGACTACTGAGAATACAAGCGCTGCCATTTCCAAACATGGCTGAGTAGCTGGGTCACTTGCTGAGCTGTTAAAAAAATACAGTGATGGAGCACCACCCCAGATCTGAATCAGCAAGCCAGATCTCCCGTTTGGGAGCTCCTGAGTTATCTCACTAGATGCAAACATGGTTCCCTGCTAATAAAATAATTATAGTCTCTACTGCCTAATAAAACAGGAAAGACGCAGAAATCACCTCACTGCTTTCTGCAGTAACATAAAAGATTTTTTTTGGCCTCTGACTAATATTTGCTAAGTGGAGAAACAATTGCTTTGAATCCTTCTGGTGGTGTCAATGCCTTTTTATTCACTGTTCATTATGAAGATTAAATATAACCTGCTTGGATCTCTTTGGAACAATTTTTGATGAAGGGGCCCTCTATTTAGGAACGAGTTGTCCAGTTTTTGATCCATTTTGTCCTCTCAGAGTTAGAAAGTTCACCTTTTATTAGTGAGTGCCCTTGATGAGAAGGAGAGGAAGACAAAAGGCTAACATTTTTGAATGAAGACCTTAGCGCTAGCAACACTGGAAGGTCGGACTGCAGGGACCATCTGGTTGCTTTCTCTTCAGCAAAGGGATTCTTTCAGTTAAAAAAAAAAAAAAAAAAAGGACAGAGAAGCCGGTTCATAAAAGCAGGCTTGCCCAAGTTAGCAAGTAGAAGAGGGCTCAGGGGCCATTCAGCCTGCCCTCCCACTCCTTCCCTTAATTCTCAAGCACCCCTATGGAATACTAGGGTTCCCCTGATGACAGTTTTAAAACTACTGGTCCTTCATTTTAAAGGTGGACAAACGGGCCCAGAGGAGGTACCCTACCCAGAGTCAGGCAGACTTTTCTAATTCTTGACTCTTGCGGCCCAGTGTGGGGTTCACTGTTGTTTCCAAGTACAGGATGTGGGAGAGGAAGAGTCACCCACCATTCCTCTCTTTCTGGTGCTTAGCACAGTGCATGGCACTTAGGAGGGCCTTGAGAACTACCTCTTAAGTGAATGTATGTATTTAGTAAATTCTGATGGAAGCTGTCAAAGCAGCTTTGAAACCTACAGATACCAGTGTTGCCTGGTTGTATTCGTCTGGACTCTTGATTGCACGTGCCAGACACCATGAAACAAAAAGGGGGCTTTGCTGGAAGGATCCTGGGGCAAGTGGCCAGCCAAGCCTTGGGTAAAGGTAGGATGTGTCTGGGCTTCTTCAGGAGCCTTGGAAGCTGGGGTCAGCATGGCACGCCTTCACCCGTGTCTCAGCATTTGTTCCACTGGTGTTCTGTGCAAGGCCAGATGCATCTACTCTTTGTCTACTTAGCAAGAAAAAAGGCTGTAGACAGAGCGGGAGTTCCATATGTCACAGCTTTGCTATCTGGAGAAAGTACCAGATCGAAAATCCTTAGGAAGACTCTGGTTGACTTAGCTCAACCAGTTAGTGTCAGAAGCCCTGGGGATTATACAAAATGACTTCATGACAGGTATTCCTGGGAGGGCGTATGGAGCCATGAAGCTGTCAAAACAACGTATACATTTTTTTTTTTTTTTTTTTTTTTTTTTTTTGCGGTGCACAGGCCTCTCTCTGCTGTGGCCTCTCCCGTTGCGGAGCACAGGCTCCGGACGCGCAGGCTCAGCGGCCATGGCTCACGGGCCCAGCCGCTCCGCAGCATGTGGAATCTTCCCGGACCGGGGCACGAACCCGTGTCCCCTGCATCGGCAGGTGGACTGTCAACCACTGCGCCACCAGGGAAGTCCAAAACAATGTCTACACTTAAGTTGGTTGTTAGAAATGGCCTCCTGCTTAGTGAACTAAATCCACATAGAATGCTGGAGATTATTATGCTGCCAAATGAAGAAGACCTATTTATTTGTGAGTGGGAGTGCATAAAACATATAACCTTCCTTTGACAGCAGGCATTCAGCAACCCGGATTCCACATTCGATAAAGATAAAGTAGAGCTGCCTAAATAAAAATTGCTAATATTAACAGAGCACTTAACGACATGCCCCAGGTTCTTCCCTAAATGCTTTTACATGGTTAATCTCCTTTAATCCTCACAAGAACCCTATGGTCTAATAAGTATTATTATTATTACTATTATTATTCCCGTTTTAAAAAGAGGAAAGAGAAAGGTAGAAAGTGGTTGAGTGGGGATCCAAATCCCTGTGCTCTGATTCAGGGTCCTAAACCACCATGGAGTACTGTCTTGACAAGAAACTCCTTAGGAGATGCAAAGCTATCTTTAGAAGTTACGATTTGTGTACCATGCGATTTCAAAGCCACGTGTCATGAGGCCATCCAATGAGGCACAGGTTTTAGAATCAGACCTAAGTTGGAATCTCGGTTCTGAGAACCTTAGCGTAAGCATGCGCAAGTGGTTTACTCACCTATTAAACGGGACTAGGAGTATTTTCTTCTCAGGACTGTATATGCACATACTGAGCCTTCAAGGCGTCATGCTCTCACCCATCACCCGGCCCAGGGGACCAGGGATGGAGCCGGGACGCGCCTGGGCCTCCAGGTTTGTCACCAGGGGGCGCGCGCTTGCGCTCTGCCCTCCGGCGTCTCCTGAGAGGCTCAGGGCCAGCGACGCCAGGTAGCGCATGCGTGTCTTGGTCCCGCGGTTGCGATTGGCTTTCAGGCGGCTGACTTGGAGTGCGCATGCGCTAAGGCAAACCGCTAGCGTCTCGGGCAAGATGGTTGCCAGAGCTTTTGCCTCCCGCTTCCGACGCTCCCGACGCTTTTTGAGTGGCTTCGTGGCTGGAGCCGTCGCGGGCGCTGTGGGAACCGGGCTAACTGTCGTGCAGTTCCTCCGGAGTCAGGACGCTGAGCCAGCGTTGGCGGTGAGGGAGCCGGACGGTAAGTGTGTGGACCCCCAGGTCTCGGGCCCGGGCTGCTACCTCGGTCAGGAGCCGTAACCATGGACGCGCGCTGTCTCCACTCGCCAGGCCCTTGGTCGTCTGCCGTGCAATCTCCCTGCTCGGCTTCCTCTCCCCGCGTTGCGTCTCACCTGCCTGCTCCGTGTACTTCCTTCCCCCTGGGGATATAGTACCCCGACATGTGTGTTTTAATTGTCTATGTCCTCCCCTAGATTGTTAGCTCCATAAGCGCTCGGACGGTGTCAGTTTTGTTCTCCACCAGCCCGGAACCTGGTACATAATTGGCATCCAGTACGTATGGATGAATGAACGAATGAACACATAGTTTTAGCACATCAGTTAACTGTCCTCAATTTATCATCGTTCAAATGAAGAATACCTGCTGGCCCTTCTTCAAAGTATGTAAATCCGCAGGTTACCAGGTGTACCTTATATTTGACAAAGTAAATGAGCTCATGCTCGTTTCTTTCTGTCTCGGATACACTAATTTAACTTGCTCCTCCTGATACTTGGCATTTAGGAAGAGAGCAACTCTGGTGGGTTGAAGCCTGGAGAGCGCATCAAGAGAGAATTATTTGGAAACCGACTCTGTTCCGTGCGTGCTTGGTTTCTCCCACTAGGAGAAGCAATACCAGTTTTACCACTGTTTTGCTGCAGCACATATCTCTGCTTCAGTACCAGAACACTGAGGAAGAGTGTCAATGAACGATGGTCTTTTTTTTTTGTTTTTTTGGCTGCATTGGGCCTTCGTTCCTCCACACGGGCTTTCTCTAGTTGCGGCGAGCGGGGGCTACTCTTCGTTGCGGTGCGCGGACTTCTCATTGCAGTGGCTTCTCTTGTTGCAGAGCACCAGCTCTAGGCGCACGGGCTTCAGTAGTTGTAGCATGCGGGGTCACAGGCTCAGCAGCCGTGGCGCACGGGCTTAGTTGCTCCACGGCATGTGGGATCTTCCCAGACCAGGGCTTGAACCCGTGTCCCCTGCATTGGCAGGCAGATTCTAAACCACTGCACCACCAGGGAAGCCCCTGAACGACGGTCTTTTAAAAAAATTTAAAAGGCTGTGCTTTTGTTCCCACATTAACTCTTAGAACATAATAAGTATGTAGGCTGTCTCACATTTAATCATATCAATGACTAGTAATGACAGGAGTTTTTCCTTTGCTGCTTTTGTATACACTGTACTTTGTGGGGCAGAGATTGAAAGACCAGCAAGATCAGGTCCTTATTTAACAGTTAATGAGGTACTTCCCTGGTGGCGCAGTGGTTAAGAATCTGCCTGCCAGTGCTAGGGGACACGGGTTCAAGCCCTGGTCAAAGAAGATCCCACATGTGCCGCGGGGCAGCTAAGCCTGTGCGCCACAGCTACTGAGCCTGCGCTCTAGCAACAAAAGAAGCCACCTCATTGAGAAGCCTGCGCACCTCCCCGCAACTAGAGAAAGCCCGCAGGCAGCAAAGAAGACCCAACACATCAATCAATCAATAAGAAAATAAATAAATTAGAAAATAAATTGGAAAAATAAAAAAAAATTTTTTTAATTAAAAAAAGAATAGTTAATGAAATAGCTACAGTTTACCTGGATAGAACTATACAACTGATTATAGGCAAAACCAGTATTTTGCCTACTGTCTCTTTTCTTTGCTTTATAAGTAATAGCAAAAAGAGATCACCTGCTTGATTAAATTGTTGAGTCAGTCCTTTGTCTTACCCCCTTCCTTATAATTTTTTATTCCTAATAATAGTCACTAACTGTTATTTTTTTCCCGTTTTTCATTTTTAGGTTCTTCAGAAAGGGCTGTCTTAGAACAATTTGGATTCCCTTTAACTGGAACAGAGACGAGGTGCTACACTAACCATGCCTTGTCTTATGATCAGTCAAAGCGGGTGCCTAGATGGGTTCTTGAACATATTTCCAAGAGCAAGATAACGGGTAGGTGGTTAGAAGCAAAGGCGTTGATGAAAGACATTTCCAAATTTAAAACGAGGATTATTAATAATTTCAACCATTTCTACTTTGCAGCACATTTAGAAAATGATGGTGTTTGTCTGACTCACTAGATAAATGGACCCTGCCTGGCAACCAGGGTGCCCTAGACCCTTCCAGGCTGTCTCAGGGGTTGAGAGGATCTGTATCTTGACACATGAATTGGAGGCTTTGTCATAAATATTGTTGCAATGAGCACCACTCATTCATTACGTCCACAAATGCTTTTTTTTTTTTTTTTTCCTGCCTCAGGTTTATTTGTACAAATAGCACAGGAGGACACCAGCCCCATGCAGACAGCAGCCAGGGGTCACACCAGTCCTTCTGTCCTCACATTGGCAGACAATGGTCTCTACTCCAGAGCCTTTGTGGGGTTCTGGGCACCTTTGGGAGCTTGAGCTGGAGCAGCAGCTGCACCTGCAGCCTTGGCCTTGGTTTGAGCCTTGGCCTCGGACTTTGGCCGGCAGAGCCAGAAACCTTTGGCGATGCGGGCATGAGCACGTTTCCTGAGCTTGGGGTGAATAATGTAGACAAGTCGACTAAGCTTGTGGCTGCCGCCTGTTGGGATCTTGGGCTTGACCTCCTTGGGCTTTACAAGAGCCTTTTTTTTTAAAAATTAATTAATTTATTATTTAATTTTGGCTGTGTTGGGTCTTTGTTGCTGCACGCAGGCTTTCTTTAGTTGTGGCGAGCGGGGGCTACTCGTCATTGTGGTGCGAGGGCTTCTCATGGCGGTGGCTTCTCTTGTTGTGGAGCACAGGCTCTAGGCTAGCGGGCTTCAGAGCACAGGTTCAGTAGTTGTGGCGCACGGGCGTAGTTGCTCTGCGGCATGTGGGATCTTCCCAGACACGGCCTCGAACCCGTGTGCCCTGCATTGGCAGGCAGATTCTTAACCTCTGCGCCACCAGGGAAGTCCCTTTACGAAAGCCTTTATAGCCTCAGCATGTGCACTTAGGGCCTTGGCGTTGTTGGCCTGCATCTTCTTCAGGCCCTTGTTGTTGTGCTTCTTGGCAAAGCTCATGTTCCTCAGGAACTTGGGGCCCACCCCCTTAAGAGATTCATATTGTGATCGGGGTTCCTTGATGCCGTTTCTGTGCTGCTTTTGGGACTGGTTGTGCATGGTGTGGTTCTTGGACTTGGCCAGGTCTGCACCGGGGCCTGCCCACAAATGCTTTTTAAGTGCCTACTTGTGCATGGCACTGTGCTGAGCCTTGGGGTTATATCAGTGACCAGAGTAGATGGTCTCTACCCACAAGGGACTTTGAATTGGGGAGGGGGTGGGTGGACCTATCAATTAATCATAAATGTATAATTACAATTGGCAATAACTGTTCTGAAGGAAAAATCATTGCAAGTTGGGATAGTATAATTAAGGAACAGTAGAGAATACGTTGGGAGATTATAACAGGAGCACCTGATACTGATTAGCGAGGCTTCTTTGAGAAAGTGGCCTGAAGAGTGGATGGCAGTCACTCAGGCAGAGGAGTTGGGTGGGCAGCGGGGGTATGGAGAAGAGCGTTCCAGGCAGGGAACGAGAAGCACAGTTGCATCTTTAAAGGCCCCAGTGTGAAGAGTTTGGTTCGGTTATGGAACTCAAAGGCGGCCAGTGTGGCTGTAGCAAGGGAGAACGTGATGTGAAATGAGACTGGAGAGGCAGGCAGGTGTGTGAGCCTGTTCACGTGTCCTTAAGTTTCTTGGTGCGTTCCTGTAATTAAGATGACCAGATCTTGCTATTCAATGTCAGATTAGCTTCTAGGTAGCCTACTCCAATTTACACTCCCACCATCATTATTTGTCCTGTCTCTCCCAGCCCTCACACATAATGAGCATTATTGAGCTTTACCAATTTATTAGTTGATTTTATTTGCGTTTATTGATTACCAGTGAGGGTTAATATTTTGTGAATTATTCTTTCTTTGTGAATTTTTCTTTACGATTTTCAATAGGGATATTCTTTTTTTTAATATTTATTTATTTTGGCTGCATTGGGTCTTAGTTGAGGCATGCAGGATCTTTAGTTGTGTCATGTGGGGTCTTAGTTGCAGCATGCAGACTTTGTTGCAGCGTGCATGCGGGATCTAGTTACCTGACCAGGGATCAAACCCGGGCCCCCTGCATTGGGAGCGTGGAGTCTTACCCACTGGACCACCAGGGAAGTCCCAAGGATATTCTTTTTTGAATTTTGTAGGAGTTCGTTTTTATATTAAGGATATTACTTTTTGTCATAGTTGTTTTATTCCCATTCTCTTTTTTGCCTGTTAATTTGCTATATGGCCCACAGATTATTTCTCCATTGCTTTACAGTGCATGCTATGCTTAAATATATTAAAATGCTGATATTAAGATGAGTGTGTGCCTTTATAGAGTACACATTAACCAGCAGAATAGCAGGAGGCTTGGAATATGCTTGCTGCTAGAAGGAAACTGATGTAAGCATAAACTTTATCATAGGTGAAATTGATTATGAATTTACATCAAGAGAAACTCACTTGATTTAGTCTCAAGCCTGATAAATTTCCTTAAATACAAAAGTTTTCCCAAGATGGAATTTCAGCTTTACTAATTTTATCTTGCTGTAAGAAAAGCACTGTTTCATATTGTAAATCACATGAGCTGTGTAATTTTGAGGAGGTAAAATAGAGCTAATATTTGAAAACAAGAAGCAATATACCTGTGATTTACTTATTTTAGTGTAAAGCATCTTCTGTTTTAGTTATGACAGACTAAGTTATTTAGATTAACTCTCCTGCTAAAAGCAACAAGAAATGTTATTAGCAGTATATAAAAAGTATATATAAAAAAAAATCACTAAAAAAATCACCAAAAAAAACCCGGGTTTGATCCCTGGTTGGGGAACCAAGATCCCACATGCCGCGGGGCAGCTAAGCCCACGCGCTCTGGAGCCCGTACACCGCAACTAGAGAGAAGCCCACGTGCCCCAACGAAGACCCAGCGCAGCAAAAAAAAAAAAAAAAGTCTCAGAAGCCAGATTCCTGGCTTCTGATCCTGGCTTTAAAAACAAACAAACAAAACATGAAGAGGCAACATGATAGTAGAGCTTTCTTTGCCAGGCCAATATTTGGGGGAACGCCAGAATCCAGAGGGGTAAGGATGGCCCTGGTAAACCAAAGCCACATTGCCTTTGGTTCTGCAGCCTTATGGGGTGAGGGGGACTGAAGGCAAGACCTAGGGCTCACCCAAGGTAGATTATCTTACAGGAGACCCTTCCCACATTAATCTGGAACCCCAGAGGGCTGCACCCTCGGGGATGGGTGAACCAGAACTTACTTGCCTGCCCACCATAGGGAACTACACGGAAGGTTGCCTTGGCACTGAGCAGACAAGGATCAAAAAGGAAAATAAAAAGTTTGTTCTAGAGAAGTTGAGGCCACAAACTGGCTGTCATGCAGACTTGTAGCCCAAAGCCATGTAGCCTGTACAGATCAAGGAACCTTAAACCCTGAGCTTGCTTTACTGTGGTCCTCCACTGCTAATGCCTCCAGACACTGGACAGAAGTAAGTTTACATCCTCTCTTCAGGAAGGCATCTTCATCCTAGGATTTTGGAAATTCCCACAAATGATTTTTCTTTTTCTTTTTTTAAATTTATTTTTGGCTGCGTTGCGTTTTTGTTGCTGCATGTGGGCTTTCTCTAGATGTGAGCGGGGGCTACTCTTCGTTGCGGTGCACGGGCTTCTCATTGCGGTGGCTTCTCTTGTTGCGGAGCATGGGCTCTAGGCGCAAGGGCTCAGTAGTTGTGGCTCTCGGGCTCTGGAGCGCAGGCTCAGTAGTTGTGGCGCACGGACTTAGTTGCTGCGCAGCATGTGGGATTTTCTTGGACCAAGGCTCGAACCCGTGTCCCCTGCATTGGCAGGCGGATTCTTAACGACTGCGCCACCAGGGAATTCCCCCCTCCCCCACCCTCAAATGATTTTTCAAGGGCAGTGAGCACCAGATAAAGAAAACCAGACATACCAGGAAGTGATTCCAATGGTAATGACACTTAGAGAAGTTTACTAGTAATTCTCTGTTTACAGTTATTATTATTTTTTTTTATGGGGTGATTCTAAGAAGCTAGACATTAGATACTTTACTCTGAACCTTGGGGTCTGATAATTTAATTTTTTTCTTGACTGAATGAAATGACATTAGAATCAGTAACTTCATTAATCCCCGTTTTACACTTTTTTGAGTAGCAGCCTGAGTATATTCCATTTGTCCTCATAATTTTTATAGTTTAACAAGGCCTGTCCTAATGACAGTGGAAAACATAGTGTTAGGATTCGCTGATGTCCACGGTGGCAAACTATTCTGGAGGTATCAGAATATAAGTAAAATTGAGATTTTGTCTCTCCTGTGTGGTGCTCAGATATTTTGTGTCAGGAGTTTCTGGATTGACCTCATAACCTAAGTGTTTGTTTTGTCATGGCTTAAGAGGCAGTAAGCAAGATATCAGAGGCACTCTCTCCCTCCTCTAGGCTGTGCCTGCCCAGAACAGATTGTTTTGTGTCTATATATCCATTACTTCAGTACGTATAAACTTGTCAAATACCGTTGTACAACATACAATACATGGGGGTCTTTTTTTTTTGTGGCCGAGCCACGCGGCATGGGGGATCTTAATTTGCTGAGCAGAGATCGCACCCACGCACCCCACATGGAGCCTTAGCCATTGGACCTCCAGGGAAGTCTCCGTGGGCGTCTTTTTTAAAAAGCAAGAGTGTATTTAGTAACTAAGCTTTTTATACAGCTCAGATATTTGATTGGTCATTGCTTTTACATAGATACCATCCAAGGGATTTTTCCCTTTAACTTGAAAGGCCAGAAACAAAAGTATATGAGATGAGATAGCTGCACTGTATGAAAAACATTCTTTCCTGGACTAGTCCTTGCTAAATTCAGGTGAAGTAGCCGAACTGTCCCAGGAACTAGAGACGTGTGCTGTCGCTAAGTACTAGCTGCTCAGAGAGATACCAGCCAGCAGCAAGCAGCTTGCCTTGATTAGAGAATCTTGAGGGATATTTGTCCACTGGTAACTTACCATTTTGTGTGTTTTTCTTCAGGTGATGCAGACAGAAAACATTGTAAATTCAAGCCAGATCCCAACATCCCTCCAACCTTCAGTGCCTTCAACGAGGACTATGTTGGCAGTGGGTGGTCACGAGGCCACATGGCTCCAGCAGGAGATAACAAATTCTCATCTGTAGGCATATTTTTGGGGAGGGATGGGAACACAGGGCTGGTATTATGTGTACCATGGGACTTGGAAATTAAAAACCTAGGAGCCAAACCCTAGCACTTGAGAATTTTCGTACCCTATTTTGTATTTTTCTTCCTGACTTCACTTCCTTTCTTTGCTCAGATGCTCAGACATTTTTAAACTGGTTGAGGAAAACTAAATGCTATGCAAAAGGGAATTGGAAAGCCAATAGGAGCTAAAGCTACTCACTCATTTTTATCTTGAAAAATTTCAGACCTGTAGAAAAGTTGAAAAAAGAACACAGCAAAAATATTTTTACTTGTAGAAAAGTTGAGGATAGTACAGCAAAAACTGTACTATCTGATACATATATTTTATATGTGCATTTTTTTAAACCATGGACAGTGAATTGCAGACATTGTAACACTTCATGCCTAAGTAGATTGCTCGGGAGATTGTATTGTCTAAAGATGAGGTTATTTGAATATATGTCAAGTGTATCATTATACCAAGAAATGTGTGCAAGTGCATTTTGTATATTTGTACAATAATATCCAGTATACAGTTCTCATTCAGATTTGCCAAATTTTCCCAATTATGTCCTTTACAACTTTTTTTTGGATTCAGTATCTAATCATGAATCATGTATTACATTTAGTTGTCATGTCTCTCTAGCCTCCTTTAATTTAGGATAATTTCTCTGCCAAAAAAAGGTGGAAAATGTCTTTTCTGACATTGGCATTTATTGCATGAATTGGTGATTATTATCATTAAGATAGTGGTTCTTAACCTTGGATACTCATTGTAACTGCCTTGGGAAGTTTTAAAAAATCCTGATGCCCAGACCTGTAACCCAGAGCAGTTAAATCAGAAATTCTAGGGGTTGACACCTAGGCATCGATATTTTTGAAGCTCCCTAGGTTATTTCAATGTGCATCCAAGGCTGAGAACCGCGGTTTGACAAGAGGGTATTTGGTGGCCTTGGCAGTGTAGATCAATGAAAGGAAATCCAGTGACAGAGCCTTGGGCTTACAGGTCAGAAGTGTGAGAGGAATGAACACATGGTGGCTAGAAATTCAGAAGAATAGGACTTTTTTTGTGCCACTCTTGAACTAATGTGTTTGCACTGTACTACTTAAATACTACTGTGCTCCTGAAAGCTGCCCTTTGTAACCCTCTGCCAGAGGCTTAGCACTAGAATTCACCTTTTAGCTTTATACTGGAAATTTTTCGTTCATAGAGTCTACATTACTGGTTTGAATTTTATAAATTTTGAAGAAAAGCAGCACACCAAACTACTTCTTTTGTTATAGTCCTTATTCTGAATAATCATTATTGAGCTTTCTGTCACGGAGTAGCTGTGGCTTTCGTTTATCTTAACAGATAGTTGCTGTAATTGCCTGGAGCTAAGGTATGAATGAGGAACTGGTTATCTCTGCTTTGTAAAATCTCTCTCAAAGGGAAAGGTATTTCAGTGCAAGTTACAATTTTTATTTCTTTTCACAGAAAGCCATGGCTGAAACCTTTTACCTTTCTAATATCGTGCCTCAGAATTTTGATAATAATGCTGGTTATTGGAACAGGTGAGGGGTGAGAGTTTTTAAAATGTGATTCTGTGGGAGATGAGTGATGTGACAGGAGAATGTGTGCCTAGCATCTGTTTCTGCCTTTGTTTTTTCAAATGTTGAAACTACTGAAGATAAATATTTTGGACTAGTTTTCTTTGCTAGATTTGGAAGTATAGACTTCAAAACATAGCCATTTTGGTCATGTTTCCTCTGGTCAGAAGTCAAGTTCTGGAAGAAACTACTAAAGATATTATTACTGAGGCAGTAGAACACTATGTTTATAGGCAGAGGATACTGTATTTTTCTCCACTTGTATTTAAAGAGTTGCTGAGCTTTTTAAGAACAGTTTTGGTACCGTTGAACATAACCATTACCAGTTTTTGATAGAAGCTGTCTACAGTAGTCCCCCATTATCCATGGTTTTGCTTTTTGCGGTTTGTTACTCACCATCCACAGTCCAAAAATATTAAGTGGCAAATTCCAGAAATTAACAATTCATAAGTTTTAAATTGGCACGTTGCTGAGTAACCTGATAAAATCCAGCGCCTCCTCCTGTGTCCTGCCCTGTCTGTGAATCCTCCCTTTGTACAGCGTATTCCCCCCATTGGTCAGTAATTGTCTCGCTTTCATAGTGCTTGTGTTCAAGTAACCCTTACTTTACTTAATAATGGCCCGCAAACGCAAGAGTAGTGAAGCTAGCAACTTGGATTTGCTGAAGAGAAGCTGTAAAGTGCTTCCCTTAAGTGAAAAGGTAAAAGTTGTTGACTTAAGAAAGAAAAAAAATTGTATGCTGAGATGGTTGAGATCTGTGGTAAAAGGGAATCTTCTATCTGTGAAACTGTGAAGAAAAAAGAAACTCATGCTAGTTTTGCTGTTGCATCTCGAGCTGCAAAAGTTACGGTCACTAAGCATAAGTGCTTAGTTTAGATGGAAAAGTCATTAAATTTGTACAATAAGATATTTTGAGAGAGAGAAAGAGACCACACCCATATAACTTTTATTACAGTATATTGTTATAATTGTTCTATTTTATTATTAGTTATTGTGTTAATCTCTTACTATACCTAATTTATAAATTAAACTTTATCATAGGTATATATGTATAGGAAAAAACATAGTGTATATAGGATTTGGCACTGTCTGCAGTTTCAGAAATTCACTGAGGGTCTTGGAATGTATTCTCTGTGGATGGGGGGGGCTACTGTATAAAATCATCTGGGCATTCTGTATTTTTCTGATGCTTTCATGTAGTTCTTTCAGGGGATCTTTTAAGCATTTAAAACCGGTACAAATATTTCATGCTATTGCATTTTCCCCAGACATTACTGTGTGGTTTGAAATAATGAAGAGAGCACCCCACACTAAAAAAGACTTCAACAATTATCAGTCATGGCCCACATTTGTTTTATCTACATACCCTTCTTTCCCCCTACGCAGATTATTTTAAGCAGGTCACAGATATATTATTTTATCCACAAATATTTTGATATATATTTTTAGAAGATAAGAATTCTTTAAAAATATAACCACAGTACTGCCATTGCCCCTAAAAATGTAACAGTAATTCAGTAATTCCTTATTAACAATTTTACAATCAGTGTTCAAATTTCCCTGCCGGTTTTTACCTTTTTTTTTTTTTTTTTTGGTTGATTCTAACACAGTCCACACATAGATTTGGGTAATATATCTCTTCAGTCCCTTTTAATCTGTAGGCTTCTCCTCATCTCCCTGCCCCCACAAATTATTGGTTGAAGATCTGGGATGTTTGTCCTATAGAGTTTTCTTTCCATATTCTGACTGATTACATACCTTCGGAAGCATTTAACATTTTCCTTTTTCAAGGGATGTATTTTTTGGAGGAAAACTTTACTTTTAATTGGGCATATATGCTATAAGATGTAATGTTGATTTTACTTTTTAGATACAGAAACAGGAATAATGTCATGCATTGTTACCTCTCAGAAATTGCTTCCAACTGCAGTATAACAAAGTACATATTAAAACTACTTGCCAGGGCTTCCCTGGTGGTGCAGTGGTTAAGAATCCACCTGCCAATGCAGGGGACACAGGTTCGATCCCTGCTCTGGGAAGATCCCACATGCCGCGGAGCAACTGAGCCTGTGTGCCACAACTACTGAGCCTGTGCTCTAGAGTCCGTGAGCCACAGCTACTGAGCCCGAGTGCCACAACTACTGAAGTCTGTGTGCCTAGCGCCTGTGCTCTGCAACAAGAGAAGCCACCCAGTGAGAAGCCCGCGCACCACAATGAAGAGTAGCCCCCGCTTGCCTCAACTAGAGAAAAGCCCACGCACAGCAACAAAGACCCAATGCAGCCGAAAATAAAAATAAATAAATTTATTTAAAAAAATAAAAAATAAAACTACTTGCCATTTTTATCTAATAAATTAGCAAGAACAGTTTTTAAATGATTATTCCCAGTGTTCTAAAGATTCTTGTGAAACTGCTGTGTCATATTTTGGAGTTTATAGAGTAAATTTGTACAATCTCATTAAAAATATTAGTTTTACATATAATCAAGCATCATTAAAATATTTATTCAATAAAGTAATTCTGGCCCTTGAAATTTATTCTAAGGAATTAATACAATATTGCATTATTTAAGAAATGTCAGGATAAACCCAGTTGTCCTACAATAGGAGTAGTTACATAAAAATAATATATTAACTTTTTGAAATGATATGTAATTCTTGAAAAAAGTTTGAGAACTAGGACATAGAAAAATATGAGGAAACAAAAAATTTCAGTTATAAACTGTACATTGAATGCACACACAGGAAAATGTAGGTAGTTGTATAAATGCGTGTAGTTTTAAAGTTTTTCCATGCAGTAAACACACTGGGAAGAACATTGCTTATATGCTTATAGTGTTTTGTGCTATATTCTCTTTACATTGATTTCTCTAATATTCTTGGTATCTCTCCTAAGGACTTGATATGGTTTGCTGCTTTTTCTACATTTACGTGTGAGAATATCACACATCTTTTTGCTTTGTTTCTCAGAATAGAAATGTACTGTCGAGAACTGACAGAGAGGTTTGAGGACGTCTGGATAGTATCTGGACCGCTGACCTTACCTCAGACTGGAAGCAATGGAAGGAAAACAGTTAGTTACCAGGTAGGAACGTGTTTTAATATTCAAGCTTATATTATTTGCATGAGATTATAATCTCATTCTTTATTCTACTTTTAAATTTCATTTATTCACCAGGATTTATTGAGCACCTGTTGGAATGATAGGCAGAGAGGATAAAATGATGGGTTAAAAAGCAAGCATTGACTTCAAGGCACTCACAGTTTAGAAGGGGAAATAGACATGTTATCAGTTAATTATGTTAAAGTGTGATCTGATGTATAAACGCATAGATGAAGTGGTGTCGGAACGAACTGACCAACCCTATTTGTGGGGGTCAGGAAGACTTCACAGAGGAGGATATGTTTTTTCTGGCCCCACTGCATGTGGGATCTTAGTTTCTCGACCAGGGATCGAACCCTCACCCCCTGCATTGGAAGCGCAGAGTCTTAACCACTGGACCACCAGGGAAGTCCCCCAAGGAGGAGATTTTTGAGCTAGATCTTGATGGGTAAGAGTGAACTGAGTCAGGAGGGAAGCATGGGGACTCCAGAGGATGGACGGTGTGAGCGCAGGACACTTAAGATCAATAGCAGAATTCTGGGGTTTAGGTATCGTTACAGACACGGGCTGAACTCAGGCAGATGGAGTGAGGAGGAATAGAGGAATACAGGAAAGAGTAATCACAAATTCACTTTTTGTGTGAAGAAGAGGGAAAAATTCAGGAAGACGTCCAGATTGCAGTTAGTTGAATAAATGGGAGGAAAAGCTTTTCTTTTAGATGCTTGGATTTTTTTTAAAAAGGTGAAGTTTTTTTTTTACATGCACGATATATGAGAACTTTATGAACTAAAGGAAAGGGAGATTGAAGATATAAGAGAGTATAATTAGTGATGTGAGAGCTGTAGACAGCTTCTGTTATGCCTGAGATTAAGGATTCTGCCAAGATATGGACACCAAGGGGGTAAAAGGAGGGTAAGATGAATTGGGATATTGGGACTGACATATATACACTAATATGTATAAAATAGATAACTAATGAGAACCTGCTGTATAGCACAGGGAACTCCACTGTACAGTAGAAACTAATACAACATTATAAAACGACTATACCCCAATTAACAAAAAAAAAAGGAAAAAAGGATTGTGCCAAGAGGGTGGCTGAACTGATGTACTGTGAGATCTACAGAGGGTCGGGAATGAAGTGAGATGAGGAGGAAGAAAGGTGATAGAGTCAGTGAAAGGAGAGGGATTGAAGGACTTCCTGGAAAGTCAAAGAGGAGGTGTGTTTGGGGGGAACATCTAGTAGATGTTTAGTAAATGCTGCTTAGGTTACATGGTTACTTAAGGGGTTCTGTGATAAAATTGAATGATCCGAGAAACAGGAAAACGAAAACAATTTTAGGGTGTATTCTGTCCCACTTGACTGGCTTATTATCAGCCCGTCTGGCTCTGATGAGCAGTGATGTGTAAGTCTCCAAGTGTTCACACAGGTGCTCACGCCCTCAGAGTATTCCAGGTGTTCTTGTGGGAGTGAAGGAGTGGCAACAGAGTTAGTATTCCAAGCAGAGTAATCTCTCTCCTCTCATCAACTTACTAACTTTTGTATTTTTTTGTAATATTAGAAGAAAAAATGGCTTAAAGCTCTCTATATTCTCTTATTTTTCAAATACTAATTATTCTTGAGCTTTGGTAAATCCTCTTTACTCTTACTTTTGGAAAATAGGTTCTCCCAGCTTTCACTTCTACACCTTAAATGATCAAATTACAGTTTTGTGTGGGCTTTGTTTTCACAAAATTGAAAGATTTGTATGACTAGCTTACTGTGTACTAGAAGAAAAATGTATACAAGGTTTAAAAGGGACAGTTAACCAGTAGTTAAGAGCATTTCACAAAACAGCTTTTTTGTGTGTGTGTGAATATTTCTGTTAAATATGTTTTGGCCACATGCTGTCTTGGGAAATATATTGTTTTTCTTAAGTTGGATATAATTTTTATTATCTGTCTGCTAAAAGCGCCTAGAAGCAGTGATATTGCTATTAGCAATGAGTGTACCCTGAGACCAGGTCTTGGTTTCTAAAAAACCACT